AAAAAAATCATTTTTTTTTTTTAAGCCCAGGGTGTTGTAGAGGCCAAGGACCAGACCCGCAATGATTGCTAGTAGCGGCAGCCAATGGCTGTCATGACAGGATAGGCCACCTACCCTACCCATCCCCCACGTTAATACTCCCAATGCACCCCCTGACCCTACTATCCTACCTCAGTGTGACCAACAATCAGGACCATCACCCTACCAGTATAGAGGGCAACTAGGACCAGACAGCAGTGACAAGCACCAAGGCTGGGCCAACCTCCCATCCCTGATGGAAGCAGAAGCGGACGAACCTTGCCGTACGAGAACTTTGGATGCCAGGCTCATCCAATCTTCTACAGGCCCAATTCAGAGAGTCTACCCAACAGGATTACCTAAGCAAGGCAAGCCAGCGCCCACGGACACATCCTACCGTCCTTCCCCTAGCTTACCCAAGGCTAGGCCGAGCTCAGACTATTCAGAGCGACTTATATCCCTACCCCTACCCTAGAGCTAAGCCATGTTTGAGTACACCCCGTCATATACCTGATAGACCCCGCCAGCCCAGTATCCTAATTTGTGTGTATGTGTGTATGCCCAGAGGCTATGTATGTTTGTATGAGCCCATAGGGCCATGTGTTTTGTATCTGTCCGAAGGCTATGTGTGCTTGTGTACCTGTAAAGATGTATGTGCCTGAAGGCCAGATATGTGCAGTCTATGTGTGCTCTGTGTAACTGTATGGCGAGATGTATGTGCCTGATGGCCAGATATCTGTAGTGCTATGTAGAGGGAACTATGTGTTCGTTTTGAAGAGATGACAGGCCAAGCTGGACACCCCCCAAAACCAGCCATTTCGTCAAAACGGACATATTTTATTTTTTGAACAAAATAAAAACTGACTTTTTATGCCAAAATCTGGTCGGAATGTTTTGCTCCTGGGGGTCCGGCGTTCCCAGAACGCCGGACCCCCTACATGTATCTGGTCTATGCTTGAGACCAGATACAAAAAAAAAAAGAAAACAAAATCTGGTCGCAACCGTAGACCAGATACATGTAGGGGGTCTGGCGTTCTGGGACCGCCAGACCCCAAGAGCAAAAATTTCCGACCGGATTTTTGCAAAAAAAGTCAGTTTTGATTTCGTTCAAAAAATATAATATGTCCGTTTTGATGAAATGGCTGTGCAAAGTCCCCAGCCAGACTCAAACCCGTGATCTGACATGTGACCTGAAGACTCTACCATTTGAGCAACAGTCGCAAACGTCCCCTGTGTGTGATATGCCAGACTGGGGAGATCAACAGAACAACCACGAGCAACAGCCACAAGCAACCCATGCAGTATCAAGACCCGACATACAACACCATGGACAACCCTTGGGTGGTGCGCAGACAATCTCTGTATAAGCTTACCGTGCGTCAGCCCAAGGGAATGTGTCCAACCGTGCGTCCGCCGTGCCGGTGTCCATGCACAAGGCTGCAATTGAGTTTGAACCCGCAACCTCATTTCCAACTGGTGCTCTCTAACCACTGAGCTACATCAATCGGTCAGTTTCAAGAACGACCGATTACGGAATCGGCCAGTTCCAAAAGCGACCGATTATATAATCGGGCGTTCTTGAAACTGACCGTTACGTAATCGGTCAGTTTCAAAAACGACCGACTACGTGGGGAGAACAGAGGTGCGGCAAGTCGGGGCCCAGGAACTACACTTCATCTTAGCCAAAAGGCCGAGAAACGTGAAGGCCAGGGGGGGGGGTGGGGAAAGGTGGGGGATTGAAGGCAGCGAAGGTGGGGGAAGGTGGGGGATTGAAGGCAGCGGAAGGTGGGGGATTGAAGGCAGCGGAAGGTGGGGGATTGAAGGCAGCGGAAGGTGGGGGATTGAAGGCAGTGCATGTGTGCACCTTACATGAGGCCCCCACGTATATGGGGTCCCCCATATATGGGGGGCATTGGGGCCCCCCATGCATACAACCCCCCCGAGAAAAATGCATGTGTGGAGGTCATGCAAGCATGAGGGACCCCTATGCACGGGGGCCCATATACGCCTCACATAGGGGGCCGACCCATATCTAGACATAGGAATTGGAGGAATGGTTAGACGGGTTCCCCTGTGCATAGGGGAACATACATGTCAGGGCCCCTCATATGGGCATCCCCCCTACATGCACGGCCCCCCCTCTAGATACACATGCAGGGGTCCCCCCATATGCAGGGGTCCTTGCAGCCTTTTGCAGGGGCCTCCCCTGGGCCCCCATGTAAGTGGCCCTATATGCATATAGTGGGCCCCCTATGTATATGGGAGGCCCTCTATGCATGCACCCCTCCCTATGCATGCAGAGGCCCCTGCGCGCGCAGCCCTTTTCCTGTTTCATTGTCTTCGCAGTTTCACTGGGGATACCTCTTCTTATAACCACAACAGTGGCTATCCTCAATTTTTTTTTCAACAAGCTTTTCCGTTTTGCTAAAAATAGGTTTTCCTTGTGGTGACATATGAGCCTCGAGTCACATTGCGTTCGACCGAAAATAGTTTTCTATGTAAAACATTGCGGACTTTGCAGACTGGACTTTCTTGGTCCACTTTTCACGAATAGCTTGTTACTGCTGTAGTGAAATACCTAATCTTCACTTCCATCTCCTTTTCTCCTATTGACTACTGTAAGGGTTATTCTGACTAGCCATTGACTATAAGACGAAGTTACTGTGACTACAAGTCTACAAGACGGAGTTACTGTACTGAAGGGCCTAATCTTCACTTTCATCTCCTCTTCTCCTAGTCTGACATCTGTACAAAACATCAAGGATTATTCTGAACAGCCATTGACTACAATTTCTACAATTCTTAACTTTCATCTCCTCTTTTCCTATTCTGACTTCTGTGCAAAACATGAAGGGCGACTAGGAACTTCTACAAGACCAAGTTAACTGTAGTGACGGCCCAGCCATGGACTGTAGAGACAGCCCGGCCATTAACTACAAGACAAAGTTACTGTGGTGAAGGGGCTAATCTTCACTTTCATCTCCTCTTTTCCTATTCTGACTACTGTACGATGATGGCAAAGGTTATTCTTCACTTTCATCTTTTTCTCAATTCCCTGTTCTTGGACAATTTCGGTCGTAGATAGGCTCGAGGACAATGCATCATTGGAACTCACATTCTCTCTCTGATTTGTCTCTCACCGAACCCCTTCCCTACTGTAACGGGACAATGACATACCCCACCTCTCCAATGTCTCCAATGTCTCCATCTCCCTCACCTCAACTACCTACTAGGCTACTACTCCTGTCACTGTAACCACAGACTCCTCACTGACCATGAGACTATCTTCACCGGGACAACAGTGTCCTCACCTGGACACACACTACAGTGTTCACTGTAGGAAGACTGCATAACCCTTTTGCTGACTTTGCTAATTCATTGTCTTCCCTTCCGCTGAACATGAGATCACCGGGACAACAGTGTCCTCAGACTCCTCACCTCAGTCACCTGGACACGAACTTAAACAGTATTCACTGTAGGAAGATGGTGCATAACCCTTTTGCTGACTCCTTTCCTAATTCATCCGAGTCCTCTCTTTCACTGACCATGAAACTATTTTCACCGGGACATCAGATTCAGTGTCCTCAGACTCCTCCACCTCAGTCACCTGGACACAAACTCGAACAGTATTCACTGTTGGAAGATGGTGCATGGTACTGCATACAGTGCATAGTACATGATGCAATGGGGACGAGGACGTGAGGCAGGGCCGACCAACACGTGACCAATCGAGGGAGACTCCACCTCGACAACAACCAGCTACACTGTATCGGAACCTTCCGTTATCCTTCCTTGTCTCCCTTCCTCCTCGCCCTCCCACCATCCATCCCTCCCTACCATCTCTCCACACAAAGAGTAACCATCAAACAGCACCCTCCCACCTTCGTCTCCATCAGAAGGCCCCACTACGGCCCCACAAAAGGCCCACTAGATCCCCATCTGACCCCCTCATCATGAACATTCAGCGTTCTATTATTGCACAATGTACACCAGAAGATATTTCTTCTTCCTCTCTACTAAAGTAATCTGCGTAATGATGAGAGGCCGTTGTCATGATGGATGGAAAGCCTGTTCCTCTTCCTCTTCCCTTCTCTCCCTCTAATAGGCTCTATTCTCTCCCAGAGTCTCCCTCTCCCTCCCCCCACTTGACGTCATTGACAAAGCTAAAATCTAGAGATCGTCCCTCGAGTGCATCGATTCCAAGCCTGACATGACTGTGTCAGTCTGCGATTTCTGCAGCAGCCGCTTCACCTTCTCTTCAGAAATGTCAAACGAAGTGCCCAACAACGCGGAATCAACATCGTGTAGCACGGATGTCAGGCCTGCAAGGAAGTAAGGGCGCGCTGGCCTAGAAGTCGTAGTAACCCCCACAAACTCAAACGGGTCATCCCCTAACGCCACCTGTACCACAGGATGGAACCTTGGGACCACAAACAGGTCTCCCTTCTGAACCTCCTCCGTGATCGCTGATGTTCCGTTGGGAAAAACCACTTGTACCAATCCGCGGCCTGCCGTGACCATGCCCACCTCAATCGAATCAGGATTCCAGTGTGGCAGCATCATACATCCCTGGAATGAACAGTATCCATACACAGACAGGCACAGCATGAAGAAGCAAGTCAGTAACCCGACCCTCACAATAATTGCATCATTAAAAAAAGAAAAAGAAAGAGGAAGAATAAGAAAAAAATAAAAGAACATAAATTCCCACTCCACTGTACGAGAAAAACAGGGAGAACGTTCAAGAGAGCCTGAGTCCCCAAAAGTGTGGCTTACTACTTTATAGGTATGCAGACGTGTCTAACTGACAGTCTGGACACGTGTCTAACTGACAGTCTGTGACAGAGACATTCACTGAAGTGACCGAAACATCCTATATATCGGACAATAAGCGTGCATGTGACTCGGACAGTAGACTAAGTACATCCGTTACAGCACAGCAACCAATTATTAACTAAAATTATTATAGAGGATTAGAGAATAACCCAAGAAAGGAGTAGGGAGGGATTCCGAGGGAAGCGGAAGAAAATCACCACAAGGCGCCCACAGCACATCGCCACACGCACAACCTTTCTTTTTGTTTTTTTTCCTTTCTTTACCCTCAAAATTCAAATTTCATTTCCAATATTACATCCAACCAAATTTACACACACCACACCAGTGACACCACCATTCTGTCCACAGTGGTCCATAATTCAACACCATTCGACACAGAACTCCATGTCCACGTCAGAATTGCACCTAATACGAATGACACACACACACACACACACACACACACACACACACACACACCGTCTTTGCGCACAAATACACTCATCGAAAACCGGACATCCTGAAGGCCCACACATGTCATTGGAGTACTCGTGCATAAGTTTAGTGCCCAGGAGCCCGGGAAATCAGCCTAGTTAAGAACTCCGGTAGTAGCTGAAAAGACACCAAAAACCACTAGGCAGGCCCAGCTCAGTTGGACCAGTTGGTACATCCACGAACTGTTGAGAGTCCTAATCGGCTGAGGAATGTAAATTTGTAAAATGGTCCATCCGTAAAATCGGATAATGAATAACGTCAGCAGACTCAGCACTGCTGCCACGTCCAAAACAGACACCAAACACGTTCTGAATAAACAAGGACACATGTTACACGCTCAGCAGCCACGCCAGACAGAGACAAATAACCCGTCGTGCTTTCTCCAGGGACGACCATGGACTCATGGAGTGTAGCACTCCATTTGAGACAAGGACAGAAAGAGATTCAAATAACCCGCCGGTGGTTTTCTTCTCCGGTGACGACCATCGAGTGCAGCACACCCTCAAGGGCCTAAACATAAGAAGGACAAAAGAGATTTCCCGGAACATAAAAGAGATTAAAAAAGAGATTTAATGGAACATAATCACAGATCTCCTCCGCTATTATATACACCATTCGCCCGCGGCAGAATTCTGCTCGCCGGATGAAGAAGTCAAAGTTTAAAGCTACACAGCGAAACAGTTCACACCGTGAACTTACCCGTGGTAAGAATGCACACCCTCATACACATACGCACGCGAAGACGAAGACAGCATAAATCAGTGCGCCTTGCTCTTTTCGAGTCCAAAGCAAAACAGAGGACACAACAACGGTGTGTTCACTGGGTTGGAAGTATTCCGGCGGGTGCATTTGGTCCAGTTAAAGCTGGCTGATACTGCCAGAGGCTTCCTTCTCCGGGTTGAACTGTTGCTCGCCTTTTGAAATAAACATAGAACGATCGAGGGTAATTAAGCAAAAACGACGTTAATTGAAAACAACCAAAAAAAAACGACGTTAATTGAAAACAACCAAAAAAAAACGACGTTCACTGGCCCTTGGTCTTCCTCAGACCCTCTTTGTTTTCTTGAACCGAGCGTACAAACAGAGGGGGCCGGACAAAGACTGCCAATATTCGATCTCCCTTACACCAAGACCACGGCCTACACGGAACAGAGTATGCGTGTGTATTGTGTTATGTTTCTGTGTGTGTGTGTGTGTGTGTGTGTGTGTGTGTGTGTGTGTGTGTGTGTGTGTGAGTGAGAGAGAGAGAGAGAGAGAGAGAGAAGAGAGAGAGAGAGAGGAGAGAGAGATTTACCGACCTTGGATAGTTTGACACGAAATACCCCCATGTCAACGTGTTTGAGGAAGGTCATCTTCTTCTCATCGACGACAGTGGACCACCCCTTTCGGCTGGAAAAGTCAGCTTTGCTCTTCTCTACGTTGTACGGATTCTCCAGCCACCACTTGTTGTCAGACGGCAGACCCTCAACAGCGGGAATCTCCTCTTCCTCCTCCATAACCTCCCCCTCTACCGTGCTCTGGGAAGAAGTGAGCTTAGGAGCCCGTCGGTCATTCAGATAGACTATGTCCCCGGAAGAGTGAGACGTCAACAGGCTTTCCAACTCCTCCCGCTTCACGTGCAGAGCTGCCTCCAGTATCTTCTTGTCAAATCCTCCCAAAATGGAAGTAGGAGCTTCTCCACCCCCAATAGAAAAGCGCTGGAATAAGAAAGTGACACAACAAGTCATAGAACACGAAATTGACACAAGAAGCGTAAATTACACCAGCCTTAAAAATTACAATGACAGACCCACCAGCAGCCTAGCAGGTCCCCACTCTTCAAATCCCCATGCGTGCCACTTACACAAGGGTTAAAACAAAAAGGCATTCTCAACCCCTCCTCTTGGACTGAAGTTTTGAGAGCACAGGACAATTTAAACCCGGTCCGAGCTTCTTTGCCGGCAGACTAAGGGCCTCGCTTCACCACTCCAATGCCATAAACAATGTTTTTTTTTTTTTTCCCTTGGGACAAACAAGAAATTATAATTTATAGCCGTCTACTACAAAAAAAAACGAAATAAAAAAGAAAAGAAAGAAACTATCAAGGCCGTGCATCTCCCTATGTTCCTATGTTCCAGCAGAATATGAAAAGAAAGAAACTATCAAGGCCGTGCATCTCCCTATGTTCCTATGTTCCAGCAGAATATCACAGCACATGATACTCATTTGGTGAGAGGTGGAGCTCAGTCCTAAACAACTGGAACGACACAGAGAGAGAGACCGATTCCACATCCGTTAAAATTGGAAAGAGAGAGAGAGAGAGAGAGAGAGAGAGAGAGAGAGAGAGAGAGAGAGAGAGAGAGAGAGAGAGAGAGAGAGAGAGAGAGAGAGAGAG